CAATTACGTATATCGAAAAAAGAATTTCTTGCATTATAAAACTTACGAAAAAAAATGTTTAAAATACATAATTGTTATTTTTGTCATTATATACCGTCAGATAGTGACAGGTTTAGGTGCCTCATTTTCGCATACAAGCCTCAAAGAATGATGAAAACTACATCGATTTTAAGTAGAATGAAAGGAAATTTACGAGTGGCTCCTGGGGCTAACATATGGAAAATTCGATTTTCCCTAACAAAAATAAAACGTTATTTGTTGCCCACATTTTCCACACAAGCCGTTTTCACTATATGAATAATTAATAGAACTAGGTTTGGGAAAACCAAAGGCTTTAATGTTGCAAGTGGCTAAAGGGTTGAAATCAGGGCGTAATCTTCTAAGGAAAAATCGAGATTTTACCCGATTTTTCCACACAAGCCCATCGAATGTATGAAAACTTATATCGTCACTAGTCCGAAAAACATATTTTCTTGAATGGCCCGAATGTATAAGTGCGTTTTGGGGTCGGAAATTTTTTCTGATAAGGAAAATCGAATTTTCCATGTGTTATCCCCAAGAGCCACTCTTAAATTTTCTTTTATTCTACTCAATATCGATGTACTTTTTAACCCCCTTCGAGGCTTGTATGAGAAAATGGGACACCTAAATCGGTCACTATCTGACGGTCTATTATATTCATACCTAAAATTAAAATTATTTAATTATTTGTCTCGCAGGTAAATTGCAATACTTAAATTTGTAGGTACCTCTTTTGATTGTAAAGACATAAAAATATAAAGACCACTATAAAACTTAATAAATTATACGTAATTTTCTTCACATTGACAACACAATTGAGGCCATCTATTAGCGGTCGATCAGTTTATTACAAGTTACCATGTGCCTGCGAATTTGTTTTCTCTCACATTTTTTACCTTGCAATAAAACGAACACGCTTGAGTTACACTTCATATAGAAAATGCAACGTCGGTAATATACACCCTGGCACAAAATTCCGCCACCCCAAAATTTTGACCAAGTTTGATGTTTTATAACTTTTTATATTTTATTCTATTTTTATTAATTTTATAGTTTGTAGTTTGTAGATTCATTCATTGCGATTTTGTAAAATTATTTAGGAAGTAACATTTTTCGTTTAGAAAATATTATACAGGGGTAAATCAAAATGTTGTTTTTTGTCGCAACTTCAAAATACCTTGTAGCAAAATTGAGGCGGATAATTTTGTTTGCATGTACTGTAATCTCAGATGTTTTCCAAATATTTTTTTTTTATTCATCCCTTTACATCATTTGTTATGTGAGCTACTTTTTTTTAATAAAATGCCCTCTTTTAATTAATGACGAAGCGATTATCAGTTACAGTGGTCATTCTTCTTTTTCCAGAGCCTTGCTGCCTAGTACAGTTTTCGTCTCTAAATACCTGTTCTAAGCATCTAGAACTGTACACCGCGTAATTCCCAGAGTACGGGCGACATAATTTTTAGTACAGCCATCCTCCATTAGAGCAACAATTCGACCCAAGTCTGCTGTAGTTAATACCATTATAACAACACAACAAATAATACGAAACTGTCATTTTGTCACAATAATCGCGTACTCAGCCAACTTCAGTAATTTTTAACCAATTAACGTTTTATTAAAAAAATGTCTCTTAAAGAAGAAATGAGATGAATTAAAAAACAAAATGTTTGTAATACATCTGAGATTACAGCAAACAGTATGTAAACAAAATTATCCGTCTCAATTTTGCTACGAGATGTTTTGAAGTTGCGACAAAAAATAATATTAAAATAACAAATTGATATTCGCGAACATTTTTCAGATTATACAGTGGATGAAGTAGTAAAATTTTGCGGAAAATTAACAAAAGTTTCAAACTTAAATAGCAGGATTGAAAGAAATAAAGAAAAACGGGAATGTAAACAAATAATAATTTTAGATGATTAGGTTAAACACGCGATTTGCGAAAAACTTCATTGGTATTTCTGTAATGAAATCCCTACTGTGACTAAAATAAGTGCCGAGTTTTCCAAAAAATATCGTGTCAAATCTTAAGTTGTAAATTTTCGTTATTGTAAGAGAAAACGTGATAGAGCATTATTGAAAAAAGAAGAAATCGTTGTTTGACGTAACAAATATTTAAAGGAAATTTAACCCAATGCGGGGAAACATTTATTATTTGGACGAAACATGCCGATTAAGGTTACATATACATATACAAAAGTTTGTCCAGATCTAGAAATTAAAAATCATTAAGTTGCTTTCTTACAAGGGCTCTCTAAAGGATTGAAATCACCTACAGCGAAAGGACGTCATTTAATAATTATGCATATTGGCAGTGATACCGGGTTTGTTGAAGGTGGGCTTAATGTTTTTGAATCATAAAATAATATAAAAAAAAGAATAAATCGTAAGAAAAGACACCCCAATTGTACCCAAGGTAATATTAAAACTTAATCTAAAAAAGAAAATTAAAACAGATTAAAAATTACCAAACTAACAAACAAAAATAACAATGTTAAAAGAAAAAAAATAATATCAATTAAATAAATACCATACTGCAGAAGGCATTGATCAGTGCTGAAAGCTTTAAAAAAACACAAGATTTTCATTTAAAAACTATCCGAATACAATCTACAGGCACCGAAAACCCCAAAAACCTACTATAAAAATTATAAATTAAGGTGCAAGAATTTAAAACAAAAGGAAGCCATGATCCTGACTTCTGTAAAGTACTATTATTAAAATATTACGATCTGAGCCAACTTTATTCAATGAAATATTAAATAACAAAAAAGTTGCTAGGCGTCAAAGTTGAAATATCTGTTTTTGGTAATAATTACAAAAATTTTTTTGTTAAATTTTTATCACTTTTTTCGACGGTTTGTTAATAATTTTTATTTACAACCATATATGTAATGTTGTCATTACTAACGCCCTCACTTCCCACCCTCAGTTCCCGCCCTCACTTCCCGCCCTCATTTCATCTATTCTAGATGAATATTTTTTATATTTAAAAAAATAACACATTTTTTTGACAAATTTTATAATACCTATTTAATGACAAACAATAAAAAACAACAATGAAGTAAAATACAACAAACTACTTATTGATATTTAATATTCGCGAATTTAATATCCGGCTTTATCTGACATTTATTTATATTGGTGACAGTTGTTTACCTCGTAATCACAGTAACAATATATTTACTTGATTATTCTGAGAAAACCGCGCGCTTGGTAATTTGTCATTAAATGTAATATTTTAGGTATGTTCAGAACGAAACAGAGATTTATTAACTTTGATCGAAATATGATGGTTGTAAATAAAATAGTATATAAACCTCGGTAGGAGGTTTCATTCCTGTGTCGAGATCATAGCTAACCTCGACGCTTCGCGTCTCGGTGATCTAACTAATCTCACGACAGGAACGAAACTCTTCCCACCTCGGTGCGTAATATACTATTTAAATCAATTGTGTATAATGACGTTTATCCCTACTAATATTATAAACGCGAAAGTAAGTTTGTTTGTTACGCTTTCACGCAAAAACTACTTAACCGATCATCATGAAATTTTGTACACATATTTTTGGAGGTACTAGAAGTAACATAGGATACTTTAAAAAAATATTTTTTACGAATGATAAAAAAATTGTTTGTCAAGAAATTTAAAAATCTAGCTACTTCAACGCCATCAAGCATTCCAGTAATGAAGTTTCAACCCTGAGTCACAGTTTATAGCTAAAGAATCAGTTAGCTCACTCAGACCAACTGGATGTTCCAAAATAACATCCACTCCAGGGATACAAATTCAGGATGCGCATAAGACTGCTGTTTAAATATAGGCAGTTGTCATAATATATTGTATTAGGAATTCCAAACAAATGAACTGCCAATGGGAAGATATGATATATTCAAGGGTTGCGACATACGATGTATTCTGTTTACAATACGTAAAATCATGAGTAATGAATTACATTTAAATATTTTATGTCAAACACAATAAAAATAATAATAAAAATAAGAAACCGCTTATAAATTTTTTTAAAAATTGGCAGACTTGGTGACTATTATTTCGAATAAAAAAAGCGTTCAAGATGCAAGACTATGTCTTTGATATGCCAGACCTTCTCACTGGCAGCTATTGTTTAACAGGTCGTTGGAATTTGAATAAATCGGTAAAGTAGTTACCCTAAACTTCCCTCGATATAGAAATTGCAAAAACAACACTTAAATTTTAATAATTTAAAATTAAAACCACCAAACCAAAAACCCTTTTTCACATTTCTCCTGATCCCACCCGAATTCTCATTTCGCGTCCACTCGATATTCCTCGTCACGATCACCGTTATTGAACAATATTGATTGGCTGCTTTTAAACTGGTCCAGTTACACAAACCAAAAGGTCAGTTTTTATTATTTTCATTCAAGGAGGCCCATTTTTAATTAAATACGAATCTTTTCAGCACTATTTTAAAAAATATATTTAGGATCTGTAATCTTTGGCTTCTAAAATTCTCAGATATTATTTCAAGTCGAAATCTGCCGACTTTTCAAAATAATTTTTATTTTAAAAACTGTTTACCCTGTATATAACTAATAGAAAGTATAACTGGTTTTGAGCCAGAAAGAAACCTTATCTCCATAGAAAATTTGAAGTTTTTCTATAAAGCCGTTTTTGAGTTATCGCGCCAACAGACTAACAGACAGATTACAGATGACAGACAGACCGACAGAATGGGGAACATGTTTTTCATAATCTATAGACCTTAAAACGTAAAAATCTGAAATAATCTCGGAAGGTGACTTTTTCACGATTACAATACTTCCCTTTTATAGAGGGAAGTAAAAAATGTTGTATACAGTTAAAAAAGAAGTGTCAACTAGGAATGACCCTGTATATATATAGCATCATGGTATTCTGAAAAAGGCAAAACATTTTTGAGTATATATATAAAAAAGTATAGTACCGATATAAGAATTTTAATTTTCAGTTAATGCCAGAACATTTACCTCCACCATCTTTACTAACCCTTCCGAGTAATGCTACAAGCATACGCACAGACATCAGTGATTCTTTCCATTGCGAAGGGCGAGAGTATGGATATTACGCAGATGTAGAAAATGACTGCCAACTATTTCATGTCTGCTTACCAGTTACCTACTCAGATGGTAGAAACCAAACCTTTAGGTGGAGCTTCATTTGTCCAGAGGAAACAATTTTTAACCAGGTTAGTGCCAATCAATTTTGTTCATGTTTTTGGACAAGGGAAAGAGTTAAGGGACTAGTAAGTCGCTCAACCTAGCGAAGGGCTTTTAATTTAATTAATATGGCGAATTCCTATTCTCTAAATTATTTCAAAACTTAAGTGTTACCTAGGCTGCTCGTAAGTATAATCAGTATTAGAAGTAATAATCCCTCATCTGACTGCAAAACGTGGCATCTCTTGTTTTTGCTTGCTATTTGTAGTTGTATAGAGGGGTGGAGGTAAACAACATGTATTACGTTCTAGTGGTGAAAGCTATCGTATAACCTGTCAAATTCCAATGATTGTTTCTTATCAATGGGTTTCTTCGTTTTTTTTTGGCAATAAGATAATTTGCTTCTAGAGGTCTGTCACAATAAAAAAATTCCTTTGCAAGCATTTTTTGTCGTCCAGTTTCACTACTTTCGATAAAAGTGTAGAAATTTCCCTACATCGGTAGTGCGTTTCCCAGATAGCACAAAGTCGTTTAAAAGACGTCTTTTAGACGTTTAGCATAAGACATCTTGGTTATTAAAATTAGTAGAATAACCTTGTAGTTTATAAAGAATGCAAAAAATAGAAATAAAAATATTTATTGATAAAATATCTATTAATCACAGGTCACTAAGAGTTATTTTCTTTGTAGCGCATTCGATCACTACTCTTTAGCCATAATTGAATTGATTTTTTTTCTTTGATTTGTAGTTGCCTTTGCCTAAAAAAAATTAGTTAAGAGCATCTAGTAACAGAAAGTTATACTTTTCAAAAGTTAGTAAAAACCGAAAGAACAATTATCTGTAAAACAAAACAAAAAATGTATTTCCTAGAATTTTAAATCAAAAAATTTTTATAATCATTTAATGATATGAGCTATTATACTTTAACTTTACTCAAAATCTAATAGGGGGTTTAATTATTCTTACTTAGAAGAAACAGGATATTAATGTTCTATGTATATAAACAAATATTCATTTATTACCTGTAGAAAGTATTCCAGGAACGTGCTACATCGGTAACAGAAACTATTCTTCCCTCTCTAGTTTTTGTCCACGCTTTTGGTGGCTATAATCGCGTATGCAATAAAATAATCAATAATCCACAATAACCTTGGGCCTAACAAATTTTTGGCTTGGGCCTGAATCTTCTTCTTCTTCTTTTTCTTCTTCTTCTTTTTCTTCTTCTTCTTTTTCTTCTTCTTCTTCTTTTTCTTCTTCTCTTCGTTTTAAATGGGCTCAATCCTTGGGGATTATTTACCCAGCACTATTTATTTTTTCAAATTTAGTTAAATAGAAAGGCTGCACCCTCGTGCATCAGATTTCTGTCTTAACTCTTCCACTGCACTTGATATTTAATTTTAATATTCTTTTCCAATTATTACACTGAATATTTTGTTTAATTTTGTAGGTATACTTTTTAAAGTCGGATGGTCACTTTTATACTAGATATTTTGTGATTTTTATGGGACTTCTGGGCTCCCGATTCGGAGACCGCCATTTCAATGTTGCCACGACGGTATCCGAATCGGAAGTCCGGCTTGAATGTAATGTTATGTCAAACGTCAAACTTCACTTCATTTGATTCTTCTTGTTCAAATTATGTAAACCGTGCAAGTTTCCGTCCGACTGAAAGACGTTTATAAGACATCTTAAAGACGTCTTTGAGCTCTCACATTAATATATGGATTTGGCAAGACGTCTTTAAGACGTCTTAAGAACGTTTTTTAGCTCTCACGTTAATACGTCTGAATTATGGCTTCTGCAAGACGTCTTATAAGACGTCTTAATAACGTCCTAGGACATTAAAACCAATCTAAGACACAAAATAGACGTCTTTCAGAAGTCGTGTGCTATCTGGGTTAATGAAATCTGGCCTAAAGAACTTAAAATTCGGATAAATGCCTAAACATTATAAACTTCTAGAATCGTACATAACAGAATTTACAGAGTGAAACAAGAGAAAAAATACTTTGAGCTAATACAAACTAAAGCAGGAGTGCTACAAGGAAGTGTTTTTAGACCTGTTTTTCATCTATTATTTACCTACGATATTCTAGAAATGATTAATGTCAAAACTGCTATATTTGTTGTTGACACTGCTGTTTTAGCAATCGATTTAGATAAGAGAGAATAAAACGCTCATTAACAAAACAAAATATTTATGTTGGTGGAAACTTGTTTATCTGTAACTACCATTTGTCATGCTCTATATTCTATGTCTACATCTTACAAATTGTTTTTTTAACAATAATTTTTGGGAAATAACATAATTTCTTCTCCAGGAAATGTTCACCTGCACTCGAGCAGACGAAGCCATCGACTGTACAGAATCACCAAGATTTTACGAGTTAAACAGAAACTTCGGAAGCGAAGAAGTAATCGGTGAAGCCGTTGAACCACCACTACCACAATCAACAGACGTTCACTACCTAGAAGAAGCTACGGCGGTACCTGAAGTTCCACAAGGACTAGGCAGGAATTTGTCCAGAAGGGGAGGAAACAAACGTGAACAGAGGAAATTGTAGAGTGGAATTTAGGTGTTGCTTTTAAATTGCAGGAATTTTTTAATTTGATCAAATATGACAGTCCGGGAGGTAATGTTTTCGATCAATTGTTTTAACATGACTAATGAGCGAAACAGGTGACAAAATCGCGGTGGGGATTGTTGTGAGCAAACGTTGAAAACGTAGAGAATCAAAAATCTAAAAAATGATAATAACAAAAATAAAATAATTAACTGCATTAAGAAGGGAGGATTGTACATCAAATATTTGTAAAAACCTAAATTAAAAAAATATTCATGTAAAGTCATTTTATGCTCAATGAAATTTATAATGCAATTAAAATTATAAAAACAATAATCAGCTATGTTTACAGTTGGGCTAAGGTACCCTCTAATGAGGAAATATATTTGTTATATGTTTATCAAATTTAATAAGAATTGTACAGTTTCATTTACAATCCAACTGACGATCGTTACCCCTTTTATCACCTGCCTATTATTTTTATTCAGTTTACTATACTACCGAATATTAAAATTTAACTGACTAGTTTTTCACTGAAATAATTTCATTATACATACAGTACGTTAATTTTCAATACTGACTCAAGGAGAACAGTACGCGCCATCCCACTAGTGGTAGAGGTGTAACTATGAGCCCAATCACGGCACGTAGACAGGCGATTCACGAGTTACTCACTTTATGTCTCTCACGTGCAAATATAATTAAGTGTATCATCTTTATTTTGCTGAATGTTGAATAAAAGAAAGTATGAAAAATAATAATTAATTTATAAATGAAAAAAAAAACAAGATTACAAATTTGATATATGGAAAATTATCAAAAGTAATAAAGTAGGTACCGTAGGACTTAATGAATTATTAGGAAAAGCTTAATTTCAATTTCCATTCTACAGAGAGAGAAAATTAATTTCATAACTACATAATTTTTTAAATATCTTCACTTAGGGAAAATACTTTGATTTAAAAATATGTACATGTTGCATGGTAGCAAAAAAAAACATGTTTTAGTAGATTTACATTAAAAGACGAAAAACTACTAGACTAATCCATTCATTCATAATGATTAAGTCCTTTTTATTGTAATCATGTTTATCTAAGGAGCGAGCATGAGTTTTATGAAGCAATCAGTATTTACGGCTACTGTCGTCGCTTTACACTGTTGTTACACTTCCAAAATTAATTGCGTACGTACTTTTCTGAAAAATACTGTATAAATATAGTAGTTGCAACGAGAAAAAATACATTAAACTGATAATAACTGGCATTAAGAATGCAAATATATTTCTATAATGTAATTTTGTAATTTTGTATGCTTTTTGTTTAGTCAATACCGAATTATAACCATAAACAATCCTTGTAACAATACTCTCCCATACTAAATAAAAAAATTTATTTTTGGAATTTCATGTATCGCCTGTTTAAATAAGAAAGGACTCCAGGTGTCGGCAGCTGTAGGATACAACCTGTATCTCAATAACTATGTGTAGTAGAATTTTGCAAAAATAGCTCTTGACAAAAGTGGTCAACAGGAATTGCTGTAAATTATTTTAAAGTTTCTAACTTCGCCACTAGATGACATAATGTTTATGGCCTAAAATAAACAGATATAACGAGTGGGTATAGTCAAAATTGAGTAAAATTTCGCATCAGATTATGATGATTATATTTATCATTGAAAATGATTACCTAAGCCTCCTAGCGTGGTTTAAAATTATTTTTTGGATTTTTTACTTTTTAAGTGATACTTTGCTCACAATCATATCCACCGACACTAAAGCAGCTAACGCTAATACTCGTATCTCTTGCTAGTTACCCAAAATCAATTATTAGTAACAATAATAAGACGGTATGAAATGAATAATAATTTCAATGTTATCTCCTGGACTATGAGCCTAATATTCAAAATAAAATTGCAGTACGAATCTAAACAAAAATTTACCAAATTGGTAATTTTTGGCAATGTTAACCTATTATTTATTAAAATTTTAATAATTATAGAAATAATCTACATGCTGAATTATTTTTATTGAAGCTCAAAAATAACACATTTATTTAAAACATTTCAATATATTTAGATTTCTAAGAACTTTTAGAAAATGTCCAAACAAAATTATTAGAGAAAAAAAATAATTAAATTGACAACAAATATATTAAAAAACATAAATTGAGTTTGTTATTACCAATAGAAACATTTTTTAAGGATTTACTGAAAGGAGTATCTTAAATTCATAATTAGTCATAATATAATTGTATAATGAAATAACGAGAACTGCAATTATTTGAATAAAGGTTCATATCTATACCAAATAATTTTACCCCAATGGCACACTGTTTCTGTATTTGTAATATAAAAATAGCATTTTTTAATGTTTAAAAAATTGTTCCTGGGATTCAGCATAATTCCATACTTTTCCATATTATATTTCTATTACTGTGTTTCAATTAATTGCCGTTGTGAGGGTACTAATATTTGTTAAAATTTACCATCACTTTTGAAATATGTAATATTTAAATAAAATGTTATACTTCAAGTAATTTATTTTATTAACTTTAAAAATTAAATATCTCCGTTACTATTAGAGGTATAAAAAATAATTAGATTATGGTAAGTCGTAATTTACTTTATATTTTAAAATTATTTTCGAATATATAGGATGTTCGATAACTTGTGGTACAAACTTATGTTTTTTTAAACGAATCACCCCCTATATGTTTATATTTGAATTGTCCTCGATTTTCAAGTGGTAATGAGTTATACAGCGTATTTCAGATGACAAAACCAGTTTTACATGAAAATTATATTGATTTCAATGACCTGTATACTAGAGAAACAATAGAAAAATATTTTTTTCAGAAAAAGTGTTTCGATGTTAGTTAAAAAACGCACTTGTTCAAATTTCATAAAATGTGTACTTCAATATATAATGTTCTCATTTTAACCATCTTTAAACCACCCTGTATTTCATAATACTATTCAAAAGTACCTTAACTATACTTTAATTTGAGTCAAGCATTTCCTATAGCTTAGTTAACAGTTTTGGGAGACTTTTAAATTTAAATGGTAAAAATTATATTAAAAAAAAATAATAATTTTAACACAAGTCGTTTATTAATAGAAAATACACTGCGTTTGTTAATTATTAATTAGAAGTTAACCAGCTGTAATTTATTATCGACTGAATACGTTTCTGATATCTGATATCTAATGCGTTTTTACATTCCTAGAAACCTAGAAACCATAATAATGATTCTTTAATTTAAAAATAGTTTATTTATTAAAACCGGTTTATTTATAATTTATTTATAACGTCCTAATTAATTTATTTGATACTTAGGCACAATTCTAATTTATTTATTACAATTTATCTTTTCTATACACACCTAAATTGAGACAACTTCTATCAACAAAGTCGCGGCTATTTATATCAAAATGTAACTGCCCAGAAAGAACAATCCTGTTAGAAGAATCTGGAAGCGAAGTGATTCCTCTACCCGTCAGCTGCATACCTAGAAGATTCCGGTAATGTTTCGACCCGAGAATACCGATCAAGGTGCCTTTACTATCGGCTGGGCCTTTTTCACAGGATGAATATTATCGATATACAACTTAATACGCTGAAAAAACTGCTTATATTCTATTATCCGAAATCATTTTTATAGTCCACGCGCAAATGTTATAATATGATTTATTTACATTGAAGTAGTTAGGGTAAATAATAGCAATGGTGAGATTTCGACACCAAAATATAATTTTTTATGTATTAATTAATTATTTGATATAAAAGTAAAAGACGTTTATTGTTTTATAATTTATTTATATATAAGATTTGTCCCATATTTGATTTATACATTGTTAAAAAGTAATAAAAGCACCATTTTTGAATTAAATTACCTTTTTTTTACGTAAAAATAAGGTAAATAAAATTAAGGGTACCAAATAAAATTTAAGTGACAATTAATTTAACTAAATATTTCCAAAGTATATCTATTGTCAAAGCTTTTAGGTTTAAAAAGTACTTATATATTTTTAGAATTTTCGGATTTATATAATATTAAAAGGACTTTAAATTGTATTACACATTTCTGTAGAAACAAGTGCTTTCACGCAAATATAAGCCGGATATCATTTAAGGTTTATGTATTAAGAGTTGAATACCTGGCCTGGCAACCCAGACAACACAAATAGGTCCATTGGACGTAATAGACCGTCAGATAGTGACTGATTTAGGTGCTCCATTTTCGCATACAAGCCTCTAAGAGGGTTGAAAAGTACATCGATTTTGAGTACAATGAAAGGAAATTTACAAGTGGCCCCTGGGGATAACATATGGAAAATTCGATTTTCCTTAACAGAAATAAAAGGTGTTTTTTGCTCATTTTTCCACGCAAGCCGTTTTCACTACATGCTTAATTAATAGAACTAGGCTTCGGAAAACCAAAGGCTTTAATGTTGCAAGTGGCTAAAGGGTTGAAATAAAGGCGTAATCTTGTAAAGAAAAATCGATATTTTATCTGATTTTTTCACACAAGCCCGTCGAAAGTATGAATACATACATCGTCACTAGCACGAAAAACATATTGGCTTGAATGGCGCGAATGGATAAGTGCATTTTGGAGTCGGAAAAATTACCACAATTTTTTTTTGATTTTTGAGTTACTTTTTCATGCAAGCCTTTTTTAACCGACTTCAAAAAAGGAGGAGGTTATCAATTCGTCGCGATATTTTTTTTATGTATGTTCAGCGATAATTCTTTAACACGAGGTTCGATTTCAATAATTCTTTTTTTGTTAGAAAGGGGCTACTTCAGGGGTGGTCCCATATAAATTTGGTCAAAATCTAAAAATTGGGTCCATGAGAAAATCCTCAAACTCTTCATTTTTTACGTATATTTAGCGATAATGCTTTACTACCTTGTCCGATTTATATGATTCTTTTTTTGTTAGAAAGGGGGTACCTCAGGGGTGATCCTATATAAATTTGGTTAAGATGTTGTGATGGCATCTGCTCGTTTTTGAAGTCGGTTTTTTT